ACCCTACGGGCAAACCGGAAGTTCGGGAACAGACTTCTGGTTTGCCCGTAGGGTCATTTTTTGCCCTCCGGAGCCTTCATGGAAGTCTCCTGAAGGCTCTGGAGGGCTAAAACTGGCCCTATGAGCAAACCGGAAGTATGTTCTTGAATTTCCGGTCCAATTTCTGCTGCCTGAGCAGGCGGTTGGACTAGACGATTCAACCAAAATAAGAAGAAACAGTGAGGACAATTGCCTAATGGAACAGAAGTTGTGGGGGCTTCATCACTGGAAGCTTTCAAGAAAAGACTGGACTCCCATCAGTGAGAAATGGTGTAGGGTCTCCTGCTTGGGTGGGGGGGCTGGACTAGATGACCCACAAAGTCCCTTCCAACTCTGTTAATCTGTTAATCAAACCTCCAAGACCTCCGACTGTTATTCTGTTACCCTTAAGCACAGCCGAATGATATAAATCCTCACAGATAAAAAGAAAATACTTCTTCAACCAACATCATTAAATGACCATTAAATGCATTGCATGACGGGAGAGCGATGGATGCCAACTTGGACTGCTTTTAAAAAGAGATGAAATCAGCTCAGCTGGATAAATCACCAGTGGCTAACAGTCGTCTATTTATGATCCCCGTTGCCCTTTTGCAATAGCCTCCAAGCAGCGGTTGAGATAAAAGTAATATTTAGGTTCTGCTTGTCGGCTTCCAAGAGAGAATCTGATTTGCCTCTGCGGATAAGAAAGTTGGACAAACATCACGGGATCGTCTGATCCAGGAGGGGTTTTGTTTTTTACTCGGGAGTCCTCCTTTACCGTGGCTGCACGGCCAGACAGCTTTTTCTGATCGCTGCAATAAACAAGGATGCTTCTGAAATAAATCAGGTGAGAGAGAGCTATAAACCCCAGGCACTTTTCACACTTGGAAGCTGAAATTCTTTCTTTACCTGTAAACAGTATTCTTCAATTCGCTGATGACCTGAGCAAGCTGCGAATGTGTTCTGGAGGCATAAATTATTTTCGGGACATCACTGTAATAAGCTGTCATGCGGAGAAAGTGAGAAAGGAGCCGTGTGCAGGAGGGAGAAAGAAAGGGGGGGGGGGAGAAATTGTTTAGTTTGTGTTTAGTAACTAAATATATCGCCAGTCTGCTTTTCCTCACTGGTGCTATGGTAACAATTTAGCCTGTGGGGATAGTCTGGGAATTCACAGCCCAACTGCCCACCTAATAGAGAAAACTGCCTGCTTTTGCTTTTTTTACTATCTTCAAAAAGGAGATTTGCTTTGAAGCACTTGTGGATAGGTATCTGCAAATGGCAGTGAAAATTGATGCACTGGTTTGCATTGCTTCAAGTCCTCCCCAGACAACATCACATAAGGCAAGCGGGATTCTCAAGCTTTTCCCATAACCAGTTTCTGCTTTTGTTATGAAAAGGATTTCAAGGCATGTAGTAATACTTTAGAGCAGTGTTTCTCAACCTTGGCAACTTGAAGATGTCTGGACTTCAACTCCCAGAATTCCCCAGCCAGCGAATGCTGGCTGGGGAATTCTGAGAGTTGAAGTCCAGACATCTTCAAGTTGCCAAGGTTGAGAAACACTGCTTTAGAGGGATGCGGAGGCTCAAGGGCTAAGATGTTGAGCTTGTTGATCAGAAAGGTCGGCAGTTCGCCGGTTCGAATCCCTAGCGCCGCGTAACGGAGTGAGCTCCCAGTACTTGTCCCAGCCTCTGCCAACCAAAAATGGGCTTGTTTTTTGTTTAAAAAGGGGGTTATTAGGAAGCTTATAGAGTGCTCCTGGGGCTGGGGGGCAAAATTGAGCAAAAAACGGGCCATTTTTTTGCTCATTTCTGCCCTCTCAAGCCCCCAGGAGCTCTCTGAAAGCCTCCTACAAGCAATGCCTGGCCATTTGGTGAAGGAAGTGGGGTTTCAGGAGGCAAAAAAATGCTGTATTCTGTGTACAAGACGCACCCAGATTTTCAGTCTCTTTTTTGAGGGAAAAAGGTGCGTCTTATACTCCAAAAAATACAGTAGGTTTTCACCAGATATGTGCCAATATGATATTTCCAATAAAGCTATCCTTTTGAAGAATCTACCTACCTCAGGGTTCTGCTTGCTGTGGCTCTATTACTTGGAACCCTGACACTTATCCTTACATCTGCTCTATGGTCAGAATCTCATTGCAAATGTAACGAGGGCTTCCAAATGAACAAGAAATACCTGGAACTTCGGTCCCTGTGACAGCATTGCCCCAAGACGACAAGGGGTGGTCCGGAAAAAGTTCATCTCCTTTTAGTACTTGAGTAATCTTTTGTGCGGAAATGGCATCCTTGAAGTGCGCTCGCCATGCCAAGGTCGAGCACAGGAGGCATAACGTCTTCCCTGTGCCCGTGGGGCTCTCCAAGATCCCATTCACTTGCTGAAATGAGAATTGAAATGTGGGGAGGGGGGAAAGTGGGAAAATAAATATTTACTGAAGTGCCAGAGGAGGATAACCATTTCCACAAAGTCATTCTATGCACTTCACAAAAGGCTATTTGGCATCTATCATAGACCGCAATCCTAGACAAGGTCGGAGAGTCTTGGCCTTATCTATTTCAAAGTTACTCCTCTACAATCTGTCAATCTACATGTAGTTCTTGACTTACGACCATAATCAGGACCAGACCCAAAGGTGCTTTCTTCAGGAGGCAACTGGACTTTTCTTGTTTTTTTCTTTCGAAAATGTTTTCCTTCTCATCTAAGGAACTTCTTCAGCTCTGGCTGGATGGTGGGGAATGGAAGGATTTGTACTCCTTGCAGACAGCTGGTCATTTGCATCCTTTTTAGAGGGTCGGTGAGGCCACTTGGAGGTTTAGTTGTGTCCTCAGGATCACCTGAGTGGTGCAAATGGGTATGGAGTCTTCTTGGAACTGCTGAAAGGACTGTATTGAAGACAGGAGATAAATGATGTCGTATCCCTTCACCCTCTGTGTAGAGGGTGTAGTTCAATTTTGACATAGATAGCCTCTTTGACACCTCTTTCAAACCAACGGCCCTCTCTGTCCAAAATGTGGACAGAGAACCTCCAGGTGGTCTCAATGGCTCTCTAAAAGGATGCAAATGACCAGCTCTCTGCAATGAATATAAATCCTTCCATTCCCCACCATCCAGTCAGAGCTGAAGAAGCTTCTTGGATGAGAAGTGAAACGTCTTGAAAAGAAAAAAACAAGTAAAGTCCAGTTGTCCTGTTGGAAACCAGCTGGGAAAGCTGCAAATGGCAGTCACATGATCTCAGGGACGCTACCACAGCTAAAAACACATGCCACTAGCCAAGTGAACAAAATTTTGATCATCTGACTGGGGATTGCTGAAATGGTCGTAAGTATAAAGACAGATCATGGCACTTGTAACTCTGAACAGTCGCTAAGTGAATTATTGTAAGTCAAGGATTCTCTGAATAGTCTTCAAGCAATCTTTTAGTAACCATTTTATGGCTCCTAAAGTTTCCCAGAGGGCACTGACACCAACCTGGATTTTGGGGGGCACAGTTAAGACAAGGGTACCTCCCCTTAACCACTATCCTCAGAAAATCCTGAAAGAATGTATTCCCCACCACCACGCCTGCCTACATTCCAGTGACATTATAGCAATAGCAAATAGCACTTAAGACTTATATAGCGCTTTAGTGTTTTACAGCCCTCTCTAAGCAGTTTACAAGTCAGCCTCTTGTCCTCAAAAATTTGGGTCCTCATTTTAACCTCCTCAGAAGGATGGAAGACTGAGTCAACCATGAGACTGGTGAGATTTGAACTGTTGAACTGTAGCTAGCAGTCAGCTGAAGTAGGCTGCAGTGCTGCACTCTAACCCAGAGGTGGGATTCTACTGGTTTGGAGTGGTTCGGGCGGTCGAGTAGCTCCGAAGAACAGCTGAGAGTGAACTGGTTCACTCCGACCTCAAGGTGCGCTCACCCTCTCTCCCCTGGCCTATACTCACCTATATTTCCTTCTTTTTTAGTCCAGCTGATAAACACAGCAGAGTGGAATGCTGCACCTCAGCTGTTTTCCTGTGTAATGTGCAGGTGCATGGAACACGCATGAGGCATGTTAGGCACGCACATGAGCAAACCTGTTGCTAAACCAGTAGGATCGCACCCCTGCTCTAACCACTGCGCCACCTCTGCTCATTATGACATTACAGGCCCCCGCAGCTATGGATATGCTTTTCAAAAAGAAATGTGACCCCTAGCTGTTAAAAAAAAGTGCCCACTCTTGGCCGAATTAATGGCTCTGTACTGTTCAAGAGATTGCTCCTTATCCCTGGAGAAACACAGCAGGAAAATTAGTTTGTATTCTGCTTACACAATCATGGGATACAACCTACATTTAACTGTTTGCCTGAAAGGAAGAAATAATAAGAAACCAATTTTTCAGTCAATAACCATAAGGAGAGAACCAATCAATAAATGGTGTTTGCACAAGCTTTTAGGCTGCGACATGTAAGCAATCACCCTCCTACAAACAGTAAGACCATGTATTACAACAGCAAAGCCAAACTATTGCTCTGCAATTTTTTTCTGTGGCTGCCCCTGCTTAGTAGAATACCTTGCTTCCAGTGATGAGGAAAGTCTCCAATCCCCTGGGCTGCTGCAAAGGGGTGAAAGCCTTTCGTGAGGGACACAGCAGCCCTCGGTCATGGGGCTGGTTGGCCCCGTGAGAACTCCTCCCCAGTCTATATTAACAATTTTTAGTCTTCCCATCTGAGAGAGAGAGAGAGGAAAGAGAGAGGAGAGGGGGGAGGGAGAGAAAGAGGGAGGGAGATGGAGAGAGGAAGGGAGAGAGGGATGAAGGGAGGGGAAGAGAGAAAGGGGTAGGGAGGAAGAGCGAGGAGGAGGGAGGGAGGGAAGGGGAGGGAGAGAGAAAGAGAGGGTACGCAATAGTACTTAGACTTACATACCACTTCACAGTGCTTTGCAATCCTCTCTAAGCGTTTTACAGAGTCAGCCTCTTGCCCCCAACAATCTGGGTCCTCCTTTTACCCACCTTGGAAGGAGGGAAGGCTGAGTCAACCTTGAGCCTGGTGGGATTTGAACTGCCAAATTGCAGGCAGTCGGCAGCCAGCAGAAGTAGCCTGCAGTACTGCACTCTAACCACTGCGCCACCTCGGCTGATAGATAGATAGATAGATAGATAGATAGATAGATAGATAGATAGATAGATAGATAGATAGATAGATAGATAGATAGATAGATAGA